CCCCATACCACCAAGTTGAATTTCTTCAAGCCTCAAGTCTTTTCATTTGTGTGTGGCCCTTCTCCAGAACTCGAACACTGAATTGGAACTCTTTCCATGCAGGTCGTGTAAGAGATTCCTACAGGAATACGTCCACAAATGACCACAAAAATGCAGCAAATATTGATTTGAGGATCATGGATAAATTTTAGCAAGTAGGTAAATTCATAAATGAACTCATGTGGAGTTTCCTACAGGAAAGGAAGTAGGAACTAGAGAGTAGAGAAGGCTATGCAGGGTATCCAAACTGATGGTTCTGAGATAGCCTCACAAAGTTTACTTGCTCCCAGTATGCAGATAGCGATGCTTTCCCATGCATGCTATAGAGGCTCAGAAATAGCCAACATATAGTCAATGCAGGCATGCCCTGCATCTGAATAAAGAAGAATGCAGCAATGTATTATTTATGATTATTACACCAGACAAGACTGAGGACACCTCAGTGGATACCAAAGTCCACAAATAGTAGAAAAAGATCAGATCCTCCTGCCTTCACATTCCCACCCAACCTATATTCCGATGCCATCACACTCAATAAGCTTGTTGAAAATTGGATGAGGCCTTCAAAAGGGGAAGATTCTCAATTGATTGAAATTATACTCAATGCACTGAAAACCGCATAAATTGACTCAGATTTAGTTTCTGCTTAAAATAGAAATAATCCTAAATATTGAAGCATCGTGTATTCTTACTGAAGAAATTGAGTTCATTTGGGAGGTAGTTCTAGGAAATACCAGTTAGGGGAGTGGGAAACTGAAAAGACATCTAATAAAGGTGAAATATAGTGGCAACCATATTTTGGTAAAAACTGCTGTTTGAATTTTAACCCTTCTAGTTTGCCCCCTGCATCTGATTAAAACACAGGGTACTTACCTCAGCTTCCAGGTGAAGACGTGGAGGCTAAGGCAATTTTCCCTTGCCTGGGACCAGGACCATAGGAGATTGATTCCCATTGACTCAGTAGCTTCAGGGATAGAAACTGTAGATAACCTTTAGAGACTAACCGCTGAGCTCTGCTTCTGTGTTATTGCTATCGCAAGATAGGGCCACATTCCAATGTCCAGCAGGATGTGACTGGGAACCAACTGGCTGTCCCCAATCTTTAGAATTTAGTCTTTAGGATTTTAGGAACAAAAGGAAAATTCTTGCGGTTTAAACCTTTAAAAGGAATTGCCTACCCCTGAAACGGTGCAGTCGTGTGGAGACCACCTGTGTGTGGTGCTCTCACGGCTGTCCTGGCCAGTTCAATAAATCCTTGCCGGCTTTTTTAAATTAATTAATCAGCCTCCGGTGGTCTTATTTTGAACCCAGGGTTCGACCCCACAACAAAAGGGTGTGTTGTTAAGCAGGTGACTGCTATACATAACCTGAATTTGAATTTACTGGGACACTTTGGGAGACAGTATAGCAGTAAATATGTGTTAAATCCTATAAAATAAAAAATACCACATCAGCATCTTACATCCTATATAAACACTAAGACAATCACAACAAATAAATATGAGATAACTTACAATATGCATAAGATACCTTGGCACAGGCAAGGATTATAGAAATTGAAAGGAGAAAAATACTATGCTGAATGTTGACGCATGAGGAAACCACAGGGGAGGATGGATAATCTGACTAGGTCATAAAGTACAAGAATGAATGGTTGGCATAAGTAAGGAGAAAACACAGGAAGGTAGTTTACATATAGAGAATGCAAATGAGTAGGTTGAACAGTAACAAATCCCTAAAGTGTGCCTGGAGGGAAATAAGTAGATCGTTTAAAGTAAAGCAGAATGCTAATAAAGAATAGTGAGGGAATACAGTATGACAGACTTAACAAAAGAATCCATTGAACTTGATGAATGACTCACAATAGGAAAAAAAAAAAAGCATAAAAAGCATAATAGATGAATCAAGTTCTGAAGTTGAAGAGTGAAAACTGTGGTGCCAATGACAGAAGTGGGGAAACTAGAGCAGAACTAGTTTGAGGCAAAATAAGTGATGAATTTGAGTTGACAATGTGCCATTACCGGGGAAATGACAAGTAAGTAGCTGAAGTTATAAAGTATGATATCAGAGGAGAAGCAGAATTGAAAATGTATATTTGAGAAATATCAGTACTAAGATTAATCATGGTAGCCTGTAAGAGGGTGACTTGAAGTGATGCAATTAGAGAGAAAAGGTGGAGGAGTTTCCACAAAGAAAACAAAGAAGGTGCAGTCTGAGAATAGAAACATACTTATTATTCCAGGAGAAGAGCAAAAAGAAAAATTCAAGAGTTTATGATCCAATGTGTCAATTGCTACGTGGGATAAAAGTTAGACAGAGAACTGGAACAATTCAGCTGAGTTTGATGACAAGCAATTTATGCTTAAGAGAGTAATTTTAGGAAAGTGGTTGGGGTGAAAGAAAGAATGCTTTCAAGAATGGGTTCAAGAGTATATGGAGGGGAATGGTGATAATGACCATTGATTACTGTGACAGAAAGAAATTTTGAAATTACTAGGTTTGCAGCATCATCAAGGCAAATGATGGGGAAGTGTTTCATTTTGTTTTCTTTTTTGAGGTTTCTACACACACAAAAAAAGGGTTCCAGCGGGAAAAGACCAAATGAAGATTTAAGAAAATGATGGAAATGACATTGGGAAAGCTTATTAATAATAAGACCTAACTCATGTGGTTCTTGTTCTCTCCCAGACACTGTTCTCAGTGATTTGCACATATTAGTACACTTTAACCTCCTAATAGTCTAATAAGATAGATACTATCATCATCCTCATTTTACTGATCAATAAATAGAGGTACAGGGAGGCTAAATAACTTACCCAGTATCACCATCTGGCAAGAGGTCAATAAATGAGTGCAGAAATACAGACATCATGCTCTCATTTTATGGGCTAGTTACTTTTAAAGATTAAAGAGTAATGCCTCTCTTTATGAGACTTTTCTTTAGGAGAAAAGAAAGGATAGACTGGCTTATGATGAAAAGGTAAGTACCTGAGCAAAAACAGTATGACATCATATGATAGAGCTCTATCTTGAAAGTAAGAGAAGAGAGTAGGGATTAAAGTAAGGATTCAGGAAACACAGAGCCTGAGGAAAATAGAGATGAGAGAAGTGCACACTAGATTCAGCAGGAGAATAGAATATGTTACACACTTTCTGTAGACCCAGTTAATGAGGAACCATCAAAAATAGTTAAGCCAAATTCATTGTGGCTCTTCTGGGGGAATGGTGGGAAAATTATAGTTTGCAGACAAGCCTAGCAGATAAAGCTGTAAAATTAGGCCTAGGAATGACATTATGGTACCAGAGAAAAGTTAATTTAGATGCAAGATTATGTTTTATAATGGCAGGCAAGAAGATATTTCTAATAATAAAAATAAGTCTTAATAGTATGCTCTTGGACAATATTTATAACAAGTTGGTAAAAATAGATATCAAATTGGGTAATTTGTATATATTTAATAGGGATAATTGAAGTATAAGACTAAGCAATTTAATCTTCATCAATAATATTATCTTATTATTATTTCAGATATAAATATTTCTTTATTCAATATCAATAAATCTCAGACTCTGAAAGACAAATTTTATTATGAAGATTGTGTAGACTGAATATAATTTTACAATCTCAAGACAAATATTTTTAAAAGAACTATTTGACGCAATCAATGCATATAAAATATAATAATAACCCAATCATAGATGGAAATTTATAATAAATTGGTATACTTTTAGTAGAATTATTAACTCAATTTAATAGCTAAATACATTTCATAGATGTTAGTAAGCATTAAATCTGAAAGAATTTTAAATAACTTACAATCATTAAAAATAATATATTTTCTCTGAAATACTTTTTATTCTACACCAAGAGTTGGAAACAAATAAAGCTCATAAAAATGTCATTCTGAACGTTGCCCAAAAATATCTTGTTTGTGGAAAATGATTATTTAGAATGTTTAATTCAGGGTTCATCATTCAGTTGTGATAGAGGCTATTAAATATAAACAGCACATTTTCCCTCATATAATTGTGTTTGCTTTTTAGATAATTGTCTGTGTTTAAACTGGGCTTATCAACATCTTTTAACAATTCAGGGCCCAAGTAATATTGTTCTACTACATTCTGGGGTATATGGCCTTGACTGTTTTTTAAGTATAGAGGTATATTCCTAAGTTATAGAGAATTTGCTAAATAAATGCTTTTAAACAATGTTTTGAATTAAGAAACAACAACAACATTTAATTGCAGGTTGATTTTGACAAGTCAATCCTTTCAGGAAATGTTCAGGGTCTGAGAGTTTCCATGCCAGGCTGACCTTCCAGTAATGCTCAGAAGAGCAAAGGACACATATTTGTAAGCCTAGTGGTATTGGTCCCTTGCTTTAACAGGATCTTTAAGAGTGTGTTCCAAAGCCAACTCTAAGTATTTTGCTTGTTTTTAAAATACATGTGCAAAGTTTTAGGTGCTGAACACCTCATTATTGTTTATATCCCGATCAGTATAAAGTATGAGGCAGTTAGACACATTTTACAGATACCTGCTGAAATTCTAAGTATAATATTTCTTCCCTCATTGAGTGCAAGTGTAAGGGCTTCCTCCTCAAGGCATTGTAAATTAAAGAAGCTTTTTAAGAACATTAAACTAAGATCGGAAGATAAATTAATAATGGGATATTGAAAGGCTTTAGAAAATTTCTTGGGATTTTCACCCTAGGTTAGAACAGGAAACAATAAAGAATGCAAATAAGGAAATGACTTTGAAAGGAAAGACAAATATTAAATAATTTCCCAAGGTCAATTATTATCTTTTTGTAAGGTCATGTGCTTTAATATGAATATTTAATATTCTTAATATACTTAAATATCCTTAATATATGTTTCCTCCACACTTAAGTTTTAAAAGTTAAGCCCAAAGAAGGTTCACAGCACAGAATAGTTCCCATTTCAGCAGGGAGTTCTCACCTTGTTATATGCCTTGTGACTAAACAGAGTGTGGGAAGTCTCCTGTTGGTCAGTCAGTGAGAAGGAGGACAAATGACTGAAGGGTCCAGGGGTAAGACAGTCAGCATGTGAGAGGGTCTGTGGATTCAGCAGGGACTTAGCAGGAGGATAGAGTTTAGTCTGATATAAAGGATGGAGAGAAACAGGCTTGTAAGGGACTGTCACATCCTGGGAAGAAGAAAGGCATAAAGAGTATATTAGTGGATGGAAGTCAAACTCACTTGGAATTAAGTCTAAATATTTTAGATGCTATGTCAGAATTTCTTACTAGTAAGAAGAAAACCTCATACTCAGCTCCCTGCTTCCATAGCATATTGTCTCCTTCAATAATTCCTGTCTATCTCCCATCTCTAGCTACTTCTACAGAACTAAACAAATGCCTTCAGCATCTCCTAAAGGATGCCAAATTTGTAATATTTGAAAGTACAGAGAGGGAAAATGTTTAAGGGAGAAGAGACTCATCCCAAAAAGGGTAGATGGGATTAGAAAGCATTTGTTGAAGATGTAGGTAACAGTGGAAATTAATTTAAAGGTGCTTGAGATTAGGTCTGAAAGAAATTGGGGGAGAAAAGGGAGAGCCCTGCAGAGGATATAAATGTGTGACCAGGGGCAAAAATACTGGTTTATTCATGGGTAAGTTGTTGAGTTGGGCTAAGTCTGAACCAAGGATAGGCAGAGGTGAGTCTAGAATGAATGAATATAAATGAATGAGGTCTTTAATTCCAGGCAAAGTGTTATTATGGAGAGGAAGTGAAGTTATAGCAAACAGATGAGTTCAGCTGGAGGGTTAATGAGGTCTAACTTGAGTGGGTCTTTAACCAGGAAAAGGGAATAATGCAAGCGACTTTGAGGAAGTAGGAATTACCAGATGAGGCTATGATTATGTGAAAGGAGCAAGGAAGCCATGGGTGGGAAGTCTTGAACTTACAAATTAAAGTTGCAAAGAGAGTCTCTCTAATATCTATAAAAGAGAGGGGCTATTTTTTTCTGATATATAAGTTCCTCTTATATTTCAAGCTGAATCCATTTTGCCATTTTAGAAACCATTGAATGGTTTTCTAAAATTTATGCTGAATGTGTTGACTGTATCAATAGATGTGCCCTCCCCTCCATCACCCCCCCCCCTTTTTAAAAATATTTTTATTTATTTCAGAGACAAAGGGAAAGGGAGAGAGAGATAGAAACACCAATGGTGAGAATCATTGATCAGATGCCTCCTGCATGCCCCCCACTGGGGATCAAGCCCACAACCTTGGCATGTGCCCTGACTGGGAATCCAACAGTGACTTCCTGGCTCATGGGTCAATGCTCAACCACTAAACCATGCCTGCCAGGCTCCTACCACCCTTTTTAAAGCAACTGATTCAAAACTTTGCAAACTAAACTCTCAGAAAATTTAAACAGGTTAGAACATTATAATTCTAATGTATTTATTTATAGAATTAAGGGATTTAAACCCTCTGTACCTTGAAATGGTGACTGTGTTTTATTTTTATTAGGTTCTTGTTTATGCTTCAAGTGTTTATTTTACATATCAAGCAAATACAAATAATTTCACACATACACATGACATCCATACATTATTCTTAAAAAAAAAAAAAGATAGCACCATATGCACAATATCCTGTATTTTATTTGTTTGGACTTTTTCCCTACTTAACAGCTTTGGAATACTTCTATGTCAGAACATGGAAGCTTTAGATTTCCTACTGAGACACATTATTGAGTTATCTCATTGATTATAATTGTCATTCAGTTAATTCTCTCAGAAGCTCCAGTTAAATCACCTAAAGTATTAAATCACTTACCTTAGTAATAAATTTACCTCCTCTTTGCCAGTTCTTATATTTTTTATTCCTTTCTTTTGTCTAATTCTCTTGGCTCATGCCTCTAACATTATAAAACAATAGTCATGCAACATAATGGACTACTTATAGTTTTGCCCATTAAAAATGGCTTTTAGATTGAAAGATGTTCTAATGTTGTTTATATTCCTCAATCAGCTATTCCATTATTCTATCAACAACTAATTACATTTCTTAACCAGTGCGAAAAGTGATTAATAGGAAAACTAAATAGCAAGCACAAGTCTTAAGTTGATCATCTAAAGTTGATCAAACTATTTGATTAATAGCTGTGTAAGAAAAAGGCAGCATCCTGAGGGTAAAGGTGCTTAGGCGAACTTGAGCTGAACAGAGTCTCTGGTTTATATTCTGGTTTCAGCTTTTCTTGCAGTTTAAGAACCCATTCTGAAAATGTCAGGAGACAAGCTTGTAGTGGAGGGCAGAGGGTTTTCTATATGGGGGAATCCGACAGGGTTGAAGGTGAACCAATAAGGAATTGTTCTATTGTGGTGAGTTGTGCTGATGTTTTTTTCTACTAAGTTTGCTGTGGCCAACCTCTATCTCTTTGGAGTCAGTCAAATCTGAACACATCTATCTATAGGTAAGGTCAGACAATGTCAGCTACTTTAGGTAGCTGGGCAGAGAGGAAAACAGAATTTTATCCACACTTGGAAAAGCCAAAGAGAGCTATGAATCTTGGCCAAGCTCATTTGAGCTCTATCTGGTTGACACTACAGGATAAAAGTGAAAGAATTCTTGGTAGTGACAGCCTCAACACGTACATCCTGTTCCAAATTGTGCTAGTCGTCTTCTACACTTGGTATAAGATCTTATCCTGTGGTTCTCTTTTTTAAATACTTTTATTGATTTTTAGAGAAGAGAGTAAGAGAGAAGCATCGATTGATTGCCTCACATACACACCCCAAACTGGGGAATCGAACTGGAGACCATTTCATGCACAGGACAATGTCCAAGCAACTGAGCCACACCAGCCAGGGACTCCGATGATTTTCTTTACCAAAATCCTGGAAACTTTATTTTCCTATTTCCTGTTTTCACTCTCCTCCTTCCAGGGTCGCATATCTTTCCTTTTCTTGGTTTTTCTCATATATACTGTGCCCTAAAGGAGCTTCCTAGGGGAAATAGAATATTAGAAGTAAAATTTTTATGTTTATTTTTTCTTCTGCCCTTACTTTTAAGTTTTTGGATATTGAATTCTAAGCAAAATTATTTCCTTCAGAATTCTGAAAGTATTGTTATGCTGAAACAGTCTGACTATACTGTTATTATTTTATTCATTTGTTTTTTTAAAGTTTTGTATAGATGATTTCTACGACTTTTCTGTTTTCCAGTTTTCTTCTGTCATTTCTAATAAGGTGGTTTGTTTTACTTTCTTATGCAGAGAAAATTTTATTGTTCTAAAAATTTCTGTGTTGAATATTTAATTGGTTTACTTTTATTCTTTTATTTATTTAGCAACTTAGATTCACAGATAACCTTCCAACGACTGTTTTAATTGTATCTCATAAGCTCTAATAAATAATAATTATCTTTTGTTCTCCAGGTGGAAATTTATTTTGAACTTCCTCTTTAATCAAATAGTTTGATCTACTTTAGATGATTATTTCTCCACATAGTTATCATAAATTGAAAAAGTGACAAAGTACTTTATCACTAATATATTTTATTTTATTATCATCCTATCTCTTGCTTTGCCCTATAAGTGATGTTAAAATAATCAAACAATCATATTTTCACTGTCAAGTTTATCCTTTATCATATAATGGAGTCTTATTTGTCTTGCTTAAGAAATGTTTGACCTGAATTCAGCTTGCTCATTGTGAAAACTATATCTTTTCCTTTCCTTTTGTTGGTAGTGCCTGGAATACTATGTCATCTTCAACTGTCCACAGCCACTTGTGTTTTGTTTTTTGTTTTTTTTTAAATATAGTTTTATTTATTTCAGAAAGGAAGTGAGAGGGAGACATAGTAACATCAACAATGAATGAGAATCACTGATCGGCTGCCTCCTGCACACTCCACACTGGGATCAAACCTGTAACCGAGGCATGTGCCCTCACCAGGAATCAAACATGGAGCCATACCAGCTGGGCCCCAATTACTTTACCAGTTTGGACTTAAAGAACAATTCTGTTTGTTTGCAGTCTAGGAGATCCCCCTCCTCATTTTTCTTTTCTTTATCTCCATAGTAACTAAATCTTTCCTGAAAGAGCTGTTTTTGCAAGAGATTCACATGTGGAAGGACAATTGCTGGGATTGTCTTTGTGTTTCAAAGATTCAGGATTTAGGTTATGAGTTTATATAAACTTTATTTTTCCTCAAATAATCTCAGCTATATGGTACTTTACAGAACAGGCTGTCTATGTCCAGAATGCCACAGAGGAAGAGAAAGCCTCCTGTAAGTAATTAAAATTCAAGACAAAATTATAAACTTAGGGCTAGGTTTATGAATAATGAAAGTAGATATAAAATCTTATTTCAAAAAAATAATCTCTCTATATAAAAGCCAAGTGACCGAAATGGCAGAATGTCCAGGACAATCAGAATGACTGATGACTATGATGTGCACTCCAGGAGCCAACCACCCAGATCCGGGCCCTGATCGCAGCCCTGGCCAGCCTGGTCCCAGATCAGATCGGCCCCCAATACAACAGAGCCTTCCCTCTCCCACTCACGCCCCCTCTCAGGGAAGACCTGCAGGACCTCACCTGTGCATGAATTCATACACTGGGCCTCTGGTTTCAAAATATTTTTATCAAATCCAATAGGTTATCACTGTTTATACTTTATTTTTATGGCTGATAACAAGGTTACTTATACTAAACACAAGCATTATGTCACCTCTGCAATTCTTGTTCTTTATGCCTATATTAGTAATGGCATATTCAATCTACAATATTTTGCGGAGATTTTTAAAAATCAAACCATTTTATGAGGATTATTTTAGTAAAAAATAGTTAAAATGATAAATCATATGTCCAGCTGGTCTATAAACTGCCAACAAAGCACCAACAAAGGGCACTTTAAAGTACTACGGGTATTTTTCATTAAAGACTGTACATCTGAGGCTCTTTTGTTGCACCAACTTTCTTGCTGTGGTTTGGAAACAAAGGGTGAAAATCCATTTTCTCTTTGCCCCCACTGTCCCTGTGCCTTTGGAAACTCAGAGCAGCACTAGGCAGAAAAAAAAAAAAGTTGCTACAAGCTTAAGGAATAGGCAAATGAGGCCTCCTTCCACTACTCCAAGTTAGAGAGCCCTAAAACTCTCCCAGAAACTCTTACTTAGAATATACGTGAGTTGTG